CTTCGACAAGCCCCACGAGCCTGGAACGCGAAGCTCGACAGTACCCTACTGTCACTGAATTTCAAACGTTGTGCCTCTGAGCATGGCATGTACACGTACGGCCACGGCAAAAAGCGACTGATCGTGGGAGTGTACGTCGACGACCTCATAATCACTGGAGGCGACGTGGGAGTCCTCGGAAGGTTCAAGAAGGAGATGTCGAAAAACTTCGAGATGAGCGATCTCGGTGTGCTCAGCTACTACCTCGGCATCGAAGTGCAACAGAACTCTTCCGGCATCTCCATCTGCCAAAGTGCATACGCGAGGAAGCTGCTGGACACAACTGGGCTTGTGGACAGTAATCCTACCAGGACGCCAATGGAGGCCCGACTTAAACTAAGGAAGGCCGGCACTACGACGACAGTCGACTCCACCAATTACCGCAGCATTGTCGGGAGTCTGCGCTATCTGGTAAACTCTCGTCCTGATCTTGCTTATTCTGTTGGATATGTGAGCAGGTTTATGGAAGCGCTTAGGGAGGAGCATCTAGTGGCTGTCAAGCGCATCCTGCGCTATGTAGCCGGAACCAGAGGCTGGGGCGTAAGATACTGCGCTGGGAGCGGAAAGGAGAAACTCAAACTGGTCGGCTACAGCGATAGTGACATGGCCGGTGACGTTGATGATCGTAAGAGCACCAGCGGAATGATCTACTTTCTCTCAGGCGGCGCGATCTGCTGGCAATCAACAAAACAGAAGGTAGTTGCTTTGTCTTCCTGCGAAGCAGAATACATCGCCGCTTCGATGGCAGCAACTCAAGGGATCTGGCTTGCACGACTAATGGAAGAACTCATCGGGAGAGAAAGCGATCCACCAATGCTATACGTAGACAACAAAGCTACGATCTCCCTGATCAAAAATCCAGTTTTGCACGACCGGAGCAAGCACATAGAAATCAGATTCCACTACATTCGAGAATGTGCAGATCGAGGGCTCATCAAGATTGATTTCATTCGAACAGAGGAACAACTTGGAGACATTTTCACCAAGTCCCTGGCACGGGTGAAATTTGAAGAACTTCGCTCAAAGATCGGAGTTCAAATAATAAGGCAGATATAACACAGGTTTTAGGAGGAGATTGTTAGATAAAACCTTTGTTTTTTCTTTATTTAGATTCACACGTTTACGTTTAATTTCCCTTTGACCATTTGACAAACACGTCGAATGGATTAGCGAATTCTTAGACGTCAATTTTCTAGGAAGTGGCACAGATTCAGTTGGCCACTCTCCACCCATTTTTAGGATAGGTTGTATTTAAATAGGAAATCTGTTTACAAGATTTCCCATCCGGATTTTGAAGAGCAGTCAAACTTTCAGTCCTTCTCTCTCTCTTATTTTACGCATTGTATCTTTCTTCCAACAACCTCCTGTCGACAATATCCTCTCGGTGATTTCCCTGACCGATTATACATATACATCATACAACACTTTATCTACTTTTTCATTTCTCCCGCTTGAGGGTCATAATTCTTGCATTTGGGCAATCTCTACTCTAGTGTCCTACCCCTGAAATCTCCAACACTTTATCTACTTTTTGTTTCCCTAAAATCTCCAACACTTTACCCGTGAAATCTCCAACACTTTATCTACTTTTTCTTTCCCTGCTCTAGATCTTAGATCCTACTTTTTCTTTCACTACTTTAGATCCTAGATCTCTTTTTCTTTCCTTGCTTTAGATCCTACTTTTTCTTTCCCTGCTTTAGTGCTCTAGATCCTACTTTATTCTTTCCCTGCTCTAGATTCTACTTTTTCTTTTCCTGCTCTAGTGCTCTAGATCCTAGATCCTATTTTTTTATTTCCCTGCTCTTGTGCTCTAGATCCTAGATCCTACTTTTTCTTTCCCTACTTCATAGATCCTAGATTCTACTTTTTCTTTCCCTACTCTAGTGCATCCTACTTTTTCTTATCCTACTTTTTCTTTCCCTGCTCTAGATCCTACTTTTTCTTTCCCTACTCTAGATCCTAGATCCTACATTTTCTTTTGAGATCCTAGATCCTACTTTTTCTTTCCCTATCCTAGTTCCTACTTCTTCTTTCCCTAATCTAGTGCTCTAGATCCTAGATCCTTAACCTGCTCTAGTGCTCTAGAACCTACTTTTTCTTTCTTTCCCTGCTCTAGATCCTAGATCCTTTCCCTACTCTAGTGCTCTTGATCCTATTTTTCTTTCTTTCCCTGCTCTAGTGCTCTAGATCCTACATTTTCTTTCTTTCCCGGCTCATGATCCTACATCTTACTTTTTCTTTCCCTACTCTAGATCCTATATCCTACTTTTTCTTTCCCTGCTCTAGTGCTCTAGATCCTAGATTCTTTCTTTCCTTGCTCTAGATCCTAGATCCTACTTATTCTTTCCTTGCTCTAGTGCTCTAGATCCTACTTTTTCTTTCTTTCCCGGTTCTAGATCCTAGATCCTACTTTTTCTTTCCCTGCTCTAGTTCTCTATTTCCCTGCTCTAGTGCTCTAGATCCTATTTTTTCTTTCTTTTCCTGCTCTAGATCCTAGATCCTACTTTTTCTTTCCCTTTCCCTGCTCTAGTGCTCTATTTCCCTACTCTAGTGCTCTAGATCCTACTTTTTCTTTCTTTCCCTGCTCTAATGCTCTAGATCTTTCTTTCCCTGCTCTAAATCCTACTTTTTCTTTCTTTCCCTACTCCTGATCCTAGATCCTACTATTTCTTTCCTTTCTCTAGATTCTAGATTCTACTTTTTCTTTCTTCCCCTGCTCTAGATCCAACTTTTTCTCTCTAGTGATCTAGGCTCTAGATCCTAGATCCTAATTTCTAGATTCTCGATTCTAATTTTTCTTTCTTTCCCTGCTCTAGTGCTCTAGATCCTACTTTTTTTCTTCCCCTGCTCTAGTGCTCTAGACCCTACTTTTTCTTTCTTTCCCTTCTCTAGATCCTACTATTTCTTTCTTTCCCTACTCTAGTGCTCTAGCTCCTACTTTTTCTTTCTTTCCCTACTCTAGATCTTAGATACTTTCTTTACCTGCTCTAGATCCTACTTATTCTTTCCCTGCTCTAGTGCTCTAGATCCTACTTTTTCTTTCTTTCCCTGCTCTAGTGCTCTAGATCCTAGATCCTTTCCCTACTCTAGTGCTCTAGATCCTACTTTTTTTTTCTTTCCCTACTCTAGATCCTAGTTCCTACTTTTTCTTTCCCTGCTCTAGTGCTCTGTTTCCCTGCTCTGGTGCTCTAGATCCTATTTTTCTTTCTTTCCCTGCTCTAGATCCTAGATCCTACTTTTTCTTTCCCTGCCCTAGTGCTCTATTTCCCTACTCTAGTGCTCTAGATCCTACTTTTTCTTTTTTTCCCTACTCTACTGCTCTAGATCTTTCTTTCCCTGCTCTAGATCCTAGATCCTACTTTTTCTCTCTTTCCCTACTCCTGATCTTAGATCCTACTTTTTCTTTCCGTGCGCTAGTGCACTAGATCCTACTTTTTCTCTCTAATGATCTAGGCTCTAGATCCTAGATCCTAATTTCTAGATTCTCGATTCTAATTTTTCTTTCTTTCCCTGCTCTAGTGCTCTAGATCCTACTTTTTCTTTCTTTCCCTGCTCTAATGCTCTAGATCTACTTTTTCTTTCTTTCCCTACTCAAGTGCTCTAGATCCTACTATTTCTTTCTTTCCCTACTCTAGTGCTCTAGATCCTACTTTTTCTTTCTTTCCCTGCTCTAATGCTCTAGATCTACTTTTTCTTTCTTTCCCTACTCAAGTGCTCTAGATCCTACTATTTCTTTCTTTCCCTACTCTAGTGCTCTAGATCCTACTTTTTCTTTCTTTCCCTGCTCTAATGCTCTAGATCTACTTTTTCTTTCTTTCCCTACTCAAGTGCTCTAGATCCTACTATTTCTTTCTTTCCCTACTCTAGTGCTCTAGATCCTCTTTCCCTACTCAAGTGCTCTAGATCCTACTATTTCTTTCTTTCCCTACTCTAGTGCTCTAGATCCTACTTTTTATTTCTTTCCGTGCTCTAGTGCTCTAGATCTTAGATCCTTTCTTTCCCTGCTCTAGATCCTAGTTCCTACTTATTCTTTCCCTGCTCTAGTGCTCTAGATCCTACTTTTTCTTTCTTTCCCTGCTCTAATGCTCTAGATCTACTTTTTCTTTCTTTCCCTACTCAAGTGCTCTAGATCCTACTATTTCTTTCTTTCCCTACTCTAGTGCTCTAGATCCTACTTTTTATTTCTTTCCGTGCTCTAGTGCTCTAGATCTTAGATCCTTTCTTTCCCTGCTTTAGATCCTAGTTCCTACTTATTCTTTCCCTGCTCTAGTGCTCTAGATCCTACTTTTTCTTTCTTTCCTTGCTCTAGTGCTCTAGATCCTAGATCCTTTCCCTACTCTAATGCTCTAAATCCTACTTTTTTTTTCTTTCCCTGCTCTAGATCCTAGTTCCTACTTTTTCTTTCCCTACTCTAGTGCTTTATTTCCCTGCTCTGGTGCTCTAGATCCTATTTTTCTTTCTTACCATGCTCTAGATCCTAGATCCTACTTTTTCTTTCCCTGCCCTAGTGCTCTATTTCCCTCCTCTAGTGCTCTAGATCCTACTTTTTCTTTTTTCCCTACTCTAGTGCTCTAGATCTTTCTTTCCCTACTCCTGATCCTAGATCCTACTTTTTCTTTCCTTTCTTTAGATCTTAGATCCTACTTTTTCTTTCCCTACTCTAGTGCTCTAGATCCTAGATCCTTTCCCTGCTTTAGTGCTCTAGATCCTACTTTTTCTTTCTTTCCCTGCTCATGATCATAGATCCTACTTTCTATTTCCCTGCTCTAGATCCTAGATCCTACCTTTTCTTTCCCTGCTCTAGTGCTCTAGATCCTAGATCCTCCCTGCAATAGTCCTAGATCCTACTTTTTCTTTCCCTGCTATAGTGCTCTAGATCCTAGATCCTTTCCCCGCTCTAGTGCTCTAGATCCTAGATCCTTTCCCCTCTTTAGTGATCTTGGATGGTAACAAAATGATTGGCTGGAATAGCTCAATTGGTTAGAGCATGTGGCTATTTACCACAAGGGCGGAGGTTCAAGCCCTCCTTCTAGTGATGGGAATGAAGCATACCTAACAATCTTGTTTAGTTCTTCTTCAATCCCTACGACAACTTTTCGATCAACTTCCCTACTTTTTCTTTCCCTGCTCTAGTGCTCTAGTGCTCTAGTGCTCTAGTGCTCTAGTGCTCTAGTGCTCTAGTGCTCTAGTGCCTAGATCCTAGATCCTTTCCCCACTCTAGTGATCTTGGATGGTAACAAAATGCTCTGGATCCTAGATCCTTTCCCCACTCTAGTGATCTTGGATGGTAACAAAATGATTGGCTGGAATAGCTCAATTGGTTAGAGCGTGTGGCTATTTACCACAAGGCTGGTGGTTCAAGCTCTCTTTCTAGTGATGGGAATAAAGCATACCTAACAATCTTGTTTAGTTCTTCCTCAATCCCTTGGTTCAAGCTCTCTTTCTAGTGATAGGAATAAAGCATACCTAACAATCTTGTTTAGTTCTTCCTCAATCCCTAGGAGAACTAACTAAATCATGTTTTCAAAAAACACTGTGAAAGTTCCATTTTTCAACTTTGAAATCTACTACGTTCTTATCACTTTGATAAAGAATCATTCTTTCAACCCAAAACCATCATCGACATTAGTGGTATCTGGCTTTCATTTCGACTAACAATAATATGGATGTCAAAAGTGGGATTTGAACCCACGCCTTTTTACAAAGACCAGAACTTGAGTCTAACGACTTAGACCACTCGGCCATCCTGACTGCTTAATGTGCATTCCAAGATTGGTTTGAGAGGGGATTTAGCATTCCGTATATAGGTGTGTAAACATCTCCTTAGCGTTTGTAAAACTGTGAGACTGATGGCAATACCGAATGACAAAAATGGACAATGTCTGCTAGTAGTGCGCTTGAATTGCCCTCATAAGGGGTCGACACTTAGAGAGATGAAGAAACATTTCTTTGTCTGCTAGTAGTGCGCTTGAATTGCCCTCATAAGGGGTCGACACTTAGAGAGATGAAGAAACATTTCTTTGTCTGCTAGTAGTGCGCTTGAATTGCCCTCATAAGGGGTCGACACTTAGAGAGATGAAGAAACATTTCTTATAAGGGGTAGAGTGTGTGGCTGTTAACCACAAGGTTCGGAGGAGACGTAATGAAATGACTGGTTGGAATAGCTTAGTTGGTTAGAGTGTGTGGTTGTTAACCACAAGGTTCGGAGGTTCATAGTTAGCTTACTCTCGCTCGCATTTTGACTAACAATAATATGGATGTCAGAAGTGGGATTTGAACCCACACCCTCTTACGAGGACTAGAACTTGAGTCTGGCGCCTTAGACCGCTCGGTCATCCTGACTGCTTACTGTGCGTTCCAGGATTGGTTTGAGAGGGGATTTAGCATTCCATATATAGTTGTGTAAACGTCTCCCTAGTAGACACATTTTAAAACTGTGAGGCTGAAGATGATACGTAACGGATTAAAATAGATAATATCTACTAGCGGTTGGAGAGATGAAGGATGATACGTAACGGATTAAAATAGATAATATCTACTAGCGGTTGGAGAGATGAAGGAAAGATTCCTAATAAGGGTTTAGGGATAAGGCTAAGTACCTTATTCTGGAGACACTATGGATGCGGCCCACTTTTATATATGATATAAACAATGTGATCACTAAATTGTACATGTGGAGACATGTGAGTGGGGGTGTCCTATGCAATGAGTATTGCATAAGATCGGACCATGAAGAAAACCACTCTCACTTTATAATATCGTTTACTGTTGAGACTGATTTTTTCATTCGACGACCTAGGTAACTTGATCTTAATCCTGAGCTAACTATGAACTCCTGTTTATTCGGAATTATCTTAGATTTGTATGGGTAAGAGTGGCCAGAGTTCGCCAACTCAATCAGTCTCCCATTTCGGGGGTAAGACTTGGTGAATAACTGGAGACATAGGGTGTAAGATGGAATTCACTCCTACCCATTTTTAGGGATAGTAGAGAGGTTGTTCCCTTAATTACTGACTCTAGGTCTTGAACAAGGGGCACCACCCTCTCATTGGCCCGAGAGGCATTCGATTTGGTGGTTGGACCACAAACCAATTGTTCATTAGAGGATCAGTGGGACTTAAGGAACAAGAAGTAACTTTAGGGGTAAAACGGTAAATTGACAAAGCTCCAGTTACGAACAACCTGTGAAGGATCGACCTACTAATCATGGTTATATCAAATGGACAAAAATATATCTATAGTGAGGGGAGTGCAACTACTAGACTATAGTGGAGTGTCCTAGTAGTTAACGAATGTTGGTTAACAAGGTTAATGAGTTTAGCTGGTTAATCTCGAATCGTTGGAGCCCATGATCTGTAGGTCCATTAGGCCCCCCTGCTAGCTCATATCAGACTAAACCTTAGAACAGTGTGACGAGTGAGTTTGAAGTGTTCAAATTCAAATTAGGGAATATACGCTAAATATATACGATATATTTAACCGCATTTTGTTTTAATTATGAATTAAACAAAAAGAGAGAATTGGAGATATTTGAATAAGATGTAAATACTTTAATTATGAATAGGGATTCATAATCGATATGTACCGAAATTGATTGGGATTGACATTTGATTTAATGTTAAATATTAATTAAATTTTTTGATTAATCCTTTAATATTATTTTGATTTGAAATTAATTATTTAAATTAATTGTTGAATTAAAATAATGAAAGTCAAAAGGTTGACTTCACTAATGGAAAAATCCATGTGGATTGAGTTAGTGGAATATTGAGTGTCAATATATGGTTTAACCAAACTTGCATGTTTGCCACATAATCCCACAAAATTGAGTGGAATTTTGAGTGACAAAATTTGGTTTAACCAAACTTGCATATTTGTCAAATAAACTCGACATATTTGAGTGGAATTTTGAGTGTCAAAATTCAGTAATCTCAAATTTGCATGAACATGAAAATATGACTATCAATAGAGTGATCAAGGTACATGTAAATTCTTCTTGAAAACTTTCGAGAAAATCTCTCAAAACTCTCTCTTTACATATACTAAATTCCTATCAAGTTTAGTCACTCACCAGATTCCACAATCCCATTCTAGGGCCGGAGAATAGTAGGAAAGACACTAGTGGTGGTTCGAAACCAGTTCGTTAGGAAAAGGGAATTTGAACTCCAAAAGATTAGTATTCAAACTCATTGAGTTTTAGTGCTTTTGAACATGCTAGCTAATTTACTATAATTGATGTACTTAGAGTGCCTAAGATCCAAATTGCTTCCCCACTGTTTATAGTAACACCATTAGGGAGGTCACAAGTCACTTTGTACATGATTAGAGTATTATTGCATTCTTGAGTTTCTGAGTTTGGGGACCTTGGTCCCTCGTCCTTAAGTGGTACCTAGTAAAGCTTGTGTGGTGTTGTTCTTGGTTCTTAATCTTGTAAGTTTTTGAGGTCCATAATTCCTCGAGGCGTAAGTTGTAACTTTCATTTGTAACCATATGAACCCATCTTAGTGTGAGTTGTTCTAGAAGGTCATAGATTCCTAGGAGTTCTTTAGAGGGTTCTAGAAGAGTCTTGATTCTTGTGGTGTTTCTTGGGTCCTGACATAGTTTAGGTTCCAAACTTGCTCCAATCAATATAAAATCTCAAACATATCTTCATGTCTTTAAGAATAGACCTTATAGGAAGTATCAAATCATTTGGAGCACATGTAGACCTTGAACTATCATAAGTAGTCCTAGGGGCATTTTGGTCATTTTACCCCTACTTCTTGGTTTTGCTACTTAACAAGTTCCAACAGTTTCAAACTTCACCACATCATCAAGCATCATAAAATAAGATCTATTTCAGAGTTTCATAGTATTTGGAGGTCATCTAGGTCATGAACCGTAGGTAGATATCCTTAGGAGAATTATAGTCATTTTTCACCGTTTCTTGGTTTACCTACTTATCCTTATCCAATGACTACCAAATTTCATATATAACCTCAACATGCTATAATATGCTAATCATTAAAGTTTCATAGGCAGCAATGTTAATTTAGTTAGTTATTTTAGTGTGTTATCTAATTCTCGAGCAATTTGATCTGTTTAGGGCCTTCACTCATGGTTCTTTGAGTTTTTCTTTCATATATCCTTAATTCATACTTGGTTTCGGGTTCATATGAAAATCCAAGTAATTCCTACAAATATTTCTTAACAAAAAAATCAAAGGTGGCTACTTACCTCATCGTCAACGTTGAAGACCTTCGTTCTTAAGCTTCTGGTATCCAAATTACCTCAAATTTGCTACACAGACTCCTTATTGTATCTAGTTTCTGGAACCATAAAGATTTGTGTGAGAACTAGTCTGGAAGGAAGTTAAAATTGAGAAAACCGAGGGAATATCGAGTTTTGGGTCGACATGGCCGGTTCAACTAAACTAGCACGTCATCGTCTTCTTCCTCCAGACGGGAAGAAGACGCGCACGACATATAGCGTCCCAGTCTAAAACTCGCCCTCACAGCTCTGATCACGTCATTTTCCCTCTTAATTTCTTCATGAAACTTAAAGATGGTGTTACAAGGAAGAGCTAGGAATTGATTTCATACATTCTGGTGGATTGTAGCCTAAGATATTTGCTTCTAAAGTTCATCCAAAATATGATTTCTTGCTGAAGCAAAAATAGAGGATTTCTTATTGGGTATCCGATTCTAGGGGTTTTCACGGCTCAATTTCTTCATGAAACCTCTTCCTTATTCTTTCTTCAAGCAACATGAATTGGTTTGGAGGAACGAAGTGGAGTGTGTGTCCCCAATTTTGGAGAATCATCCTCTATCTGCAACTTAGCCGAAACGTTATGAAATCAATCTCTTGGGTAGTTTGTTCTACGATGTTTCAGCTCTCGATTCCTTCATCAAAGTTACTCAACTTCTTCCTCTGAAGCTAAAGGAATCCTTAATTTGAAGGAAAAGGGACCGTAGATAGGAATTCGAAACTTACCCCCGATTTGAGCCCAAAATGGATTTTCTTCAATTGGGCACGTTCCTGAGGTTATTTCTCTTCATGGTCTTCTATGGAAACATTCCTTGAAAGTGCAAAAACTTATTGGGATCGCCCTTGCTCGATGAATTCTTGTGTATCCTCGGATTGAAATTTTGAGTTTTCCTTAAAGCTCTTTAATGGAGGATTTGATTGGGGAAATGGTATCTAGGCAGTTTCAGCACTCTATTCCTTCATAGAACTTGTCGGTAATCTTGTTTAGAAATTATAGGAATACATTTGGAAAGAAATGGTGGGGAATTGCGTTCAAATTTGGAAGAAACTTGAGAGTAAGAGACCCAAAATCTAAATGTTTATTGCCTACGATTGGGAGCTCGACCTTGCTCGATTTTTGTTTCAAACTATTCCCCAACTTCAAACTTTATAGGGGAAGCTTAAACCGACATTGAGAGATCTAGAATCGTTGTGAATTGGTTGGATTTTCTGAAAAATCCACCGAAAATATCATCTCCGATCAGTGAGCTACCGACCTTGGTTTTGGATCCTAGCCGTTGGATGTGATGATTTGTGAGTGTTCTAGAATATATACAATTTAGAAGGAGACCCAATGGTCATTGTTGATAATTTGATTCTTGCCAGAATGGCAGTTTCATAATTATTCATATCTTGAAGGGTAAATTAAAGTATCCTAGCTATGATTCATGGTTATAGGCTTCGTAACCAAGTTATAATGTAGGTTCTTTTAAGGGATAGTTAAATAATCTTTAATATGAATTTGTCTCGAAGGACAAGAGATCACGTAGTATCGTGTAGCTGATAAACGCACTAGGTCACTTCCCATATGATTATATTGATAGGTTAAATACATGTTATTCGTAAAGGGTAACATTTAAGCTTTAATAGTAAACATTGTTAATGTATAGTATACATATTTGTATCAAAAGAGTTTGTTGAGCTAGGGACATGGCCTAGGTGCATGTTATATCCAGTGCTATCAAGTAGTTATACAAAAACACCTCATAGAATTTTTAGGGCCTTCAAGACTAATATTTCTATATGATTTTTTGTTGTCCCTTCCTTCTAATGGGTTTTGATTATAAAAAATATTTTTTTAGTCTAACCTAAATAAATATTATGAAATGAATACAATAAATAAGAGTATCGTTCTTGTCTCAATTTTTTTCACGTTGTTCGAACAAAAATTGAATGTGTATCAATATGTTAATATTTGGTACATAGAGTCGCTATTTAACTTACGGTCTATCTTCTATTTTTTTTTTTTTATAGATAGAAAACATCAAATCTTATAGAGATAGAATTTATTACCTCCAAGAAGTTCCTTATCTTATCGATCGATCTTCGTAGTCAAG